TCGTTCTTTGATTTGATGAGGGGGTTGGGCTCCACAGAGAAAATGAGAGGTAAAATCAGGACTTTGTTTTAGCCTTCTGACTTCTGGAGCTGAGGTCCAGGAGAGGGGAGGTCTACAGTCTATCCGAGAGAGTTTAACCTGAGTCTGAGATATAGCTGTGAAGACAGAGAGAATAGAGAGTATAAGGAAATTGGTTAAAGAAAGGCTGAAGTTTCGCTGAAAACTAAATATCAGGAAGGATATAATATTAGGGATTTGAGAGCATCAAACATTTATCTTTGAACTTCTAGCGGAATCTGCAGGATTAAACGCAGAAAAATGAATGAGAGAAAATCATGCATGTGACAGTGTCCTACTGGCTGTGGGAGAGGAAGAATTACACTAAGAAATGGAGGTTAAGAAAGAGAGACCACAACAATACATTGAACTTTCAGAAGAAGAGAACAAACCTAAGGACACTTGAGATGGATGGGGGGAGGGACGGAGGGGGTTTGGAAAGTGATAGATTGGGTAAAGGGCATAAAGAAATATCACTATTTAAAAGAATGAATATGCTAATAATAAATAATAATAATTTTTAAAAAAGAAAAGAAATGGAGGTTAGTGTTCACACCAAACCGTGGAGGCCAGAAGTCAATGGTCTTACAACTCTGAGGGCATGTAGCCCTGAGGAAGACAGGAAGGAGAACTTGGTGACTCCTGAAGGAGTATTAATTTTTAATTTTCTTAATTTTCATTTTGATTTTGGTAAGCCTCTATGGGCACACCCCTTCAGGAAAGGGATAGCACTGATTTTTTGCCAGATGGCTGCAATTAATTAAATGGATTACAAAAATTAGAAACTCTCAGAGGGGCATGTTTGCACCCATCAGCCTGGCTCTGCTGAGTGTCAAATCCACATTAATTGGTCATGTCTGATACCTGTAAGGAAGAGTCAGGCTCTTGCCTGGCTTCTGCTGAGGGAAGAGCTTTTCTCTCTGCGATAACAGGATGGTAGAAACCTTGAAGCTTGCAGCCACTGGCCCCGATCCTCTTTCTGCTCCTCTCCCCATGGAAGCCCCTCTCTTCTATAGGGAAGTAGGGAACCAGTGACCCTTTTGTAGGGTTTGGCAGCCCATCTGAGGGTTTCCCTTCAGAGACAGTGTGTGGGGCTCTTGCATCCAGGAATGTGAGGACCTTTCTGGTTTGGAGGCCTGTCAAGGAATGCTTTGGGAGGAGGAGTCCTTCAGGACTTCATGAAGTGGGCTTTTTAGCAATAAGATGTGGAATTTTGTAGAACTGACAGAGAACTTGACAAGTGATCATTTGGTGTGTGGGTGGTTTTTTGGCCAGCCAAACTCCTTTGGAGTGTACTTTGGGATTATAAATTCTACTTAAAAGAAAGTTGTGGAGCTGGCCAGTTAGCTCAGTTGGTTGGAGTGCTAGAATGCAGTGTTGATAACACCAAGGTGAAGGGTTCAGATCCCCATACTGGCCAGCCTCCAAAAAAAAAAAAAAAAAAGTTGTTTTCTTCCTCTGATATTTACCTGTTTCAGTGGAGACAAGGAAATTAAATACTTGTCACCTGTAATTAGTGCTTGTGTCAAGGATGGCAGATAGAAGACGCTGAATAAATTTTAATTGATATGTGTCTATTGGCTGACTGACTGAAAGAAAGAATAAAGTGCTCAGTACACAGACCCCACAGAAAAAAGCCAGGCTCTCCCTTCACAGATGTTTCCTTCTCCCCTACTGCCCCCCATCTCTTTCAATTCTTCACAGTCTGTACAATCTCCTTATCTTACAGAATTTCTCTAAACCTAGAACCAGGATTTCTCCTATCTTACGTTTATTACGGGCTATTAATGCCAGGAGCTTTGAAAGCTTAGCTTTTTAAAGTGGGGTGCTTTCTTCTTTTTTGAGTACTTTTCTTTCCCTATGTGAACTTTATTTATTCTGATTAAAGTGAAACTCTGAAGTTACTGTATCCACATTAATGGATGATGTAGAATATATTATGTATATATTGATGCAAAATATCTTTTGTTTACATTTGGCAGAAGTTATGGCTTTCTCCTAGCTTTGAGAAATTCTAGAAAGCATTCCTTGCCTTTTGTTTTTGGGAAAGTCAAGCTTTGCTGATACAACAACTACAACAATAACAAATATGGAGAGTACTTCAAAAAGTTCATGGAAAGATTTGTATTATCTTTCAATTCTGTTTTTCCATGAACTTTTCAAAGTACCTTCATATTACTTTGTGAACAGAAAGAAAGAAAGGAAGAAAGCAAGAAACAGAAAGAAAAATAAAGAAATAGAAAGAGAGAAAGAGAAAGAAGCAAAGCACCATGACTTTTTCTGTGTTAGAGAATTAAAAGGAAGGTTGTATAATATTTTGCTTTTTATTAAAAAGCATGTTAACACCTCACTTTCTTTCTTTTTTTTTTTTTGTCTTTTTTCATGTCCGGCAACGGATCGCAACCCTCAGTGTCGCGCCTGTACCGGACCGGGACCGGCAACGGTATCGCAACCCGCGGTGTTGCTCCCGCACCTCACTCAACCAGTCAGTGGGAACCGGTCTGTATGTGGGATCCGAACCCTCAGCGGGAGTGCCGCCACGCTCTCAAGCGGCGCACTGTAGCAGTGCGCCACCGGGCCGGCCCACACCTCACTTTCTTTTTTTTTTTTTGTCTTTTTTCATGTCCGGCAACGGATCGCAACCCTCAGTGTCGCGCCTGTACCGGACCGGGACCGGCAACGGTATCGCAACCCGCGGTGTTGCTCCCGCACCTCACTCAGCCAGTGAGTGGGAACCGGTCTGTATGTGGGATCCGAACCCTCAGCGGGAGTGCCACCACGCTCTCAAGCGGCGCACTGTAGCAGTGCGCCACCGGGCCGGCCCACACCTCACTTTCTTTATCCTATTAGCAAAACCTCAAAACTGTACTTTGAAATTAGACACTGATAGAAAAAATTAACATCAGAGCTGGAACAACATATGAGGAAGGACTAGGACAGAGCAAAAGGAAGTGACATTACTTCCTTGCTGTTTTATTTACAAAATGCCATCTTCTTCTCTGTGCCTAGTTTTGTCTGTCTAGCAAAATGGGGAAGTTATAATACCAATAAATAATGTGTCAATGAGTCACATTGCTTATGAAGTAAGTAGTATTTTAAAACCAGCTCCCCAATTCCTTACTAAAAGGAACTGTAAAAGGAGCGTGACTTAGTGTGAAAGTAGTCTCAGAGTCCTAAATATGTAACATCTTTTTAAGATAAACAAGCTCTATTAACAGATCTTTTGGGGGTGGATGGGGACAGACAGCTGGATGAGGGTAAAGGCAAAAATCTCTTCTCATTGGAAATAAGAGAGTAAATTGACCATTAAAGAGTGATTCTATAAGAAGCTGGGTGTTGAGTTTGTGGCTAATTCAGGCTCCTGGTCTCTCTGTGGTATGCTTTGGCTCCTGCAGTGTTTATAAACACGGGCCGCCTCTGTGACACCTTCCCAACCCCCCACCCTGAGGTCTTGGGCACACACCCTCCTTGGGGCCTCTACCACCTTCTCCAATGACTCTCCTCCAATTCCAACCATGGCTGTTTTCCTCTCCTAAACTGTGAGACTCTCCTGGGCACAGTCTCCCTGTCTTTTATTTCTTTGCATATTCAGTATCAGCACAATGTCTAGTGCTTAGTAGGCAGTTGGATGTTTGAATTAATGTACAAATGAGTAAATGAATGGAGTTTACAAACACATACACAGCTAACCAAGCAAATGAAGTAAATGCTAGCTAGAAACACCCACAAGGGTTATGGAGGGTCAGAGAACAGAAATAATTCTGTGGGCTTCACAAAACACCTCAGAAAGGCAGTATTATAAGGTTAGGGGGCATTTCTAGGCACAGAGAAACATGAGCAAAAGGTACATCAAAGTATGTGGTACAAATGGGGACTATTAAAGAGTCTGATGAAGATGCAGAGGAACTGAGCCTGGGAGAGGAGATTGGGGCCTGAGTACAAAGCATCTTGAATGTCATGCTAAGAAGTGGTTATGATGGCACTGTGGTACTGGCCTACCACCACATACATGAGATCTGTTAGCCCCTGTTTTTCTCTCTCCTCATCTGTGAAATGAGGGTAGGATAGCTCTGGTGCTGGTGTGAAAAGGGAGGTGGAAGAGAAAAGAGAGTGAACCTTTTGAAAATAGAGGCCTTTTGATCAGCCAGTGCCTAACACAGTGCTTGTCCATAATGGACATTTAATAAGTAGATGAATGAGTGAATGAATAAATGACCCAGATGAGAGGTGCTGAGTGTTCAGGGTTGTAAACTAGGGCAGTGATGTGGGAATGGACAAATTAATTCTGCTAGTTGCTCTTGTCTCTGAAAGAGGTTTGGATGAGGGAAGTTTGAAACCTTAAAAAATGTTTTTATTGTTTAACCTATGTTTTACCTGTGTGTATTTCAACTACTAATCTAAATTGATAAAAGATGCTTGTAATAATAAATATTACTTATGAAATTGTATTTGTATCTTGAAGAGGAAATTTTAAAGAAGATTATATTTTTAAAAATCTGGAGAAATCCTGAGAAGGGGGAAATTCTTTGCACTTGATGATGCTTCGTTTGCATTCTGTTTTTTCTTTTGTTTTTTTTAAGGGTGTTTAGTTTTTGTTTTTGTTTTTGTTTTCCCCACAGCTGAACACTTTCCAGGCAGTTTTGGTATCTAATGAGACTGATACATACGCCCTCTTTCTTTATCCTGCCAATGGCCTTCAGTTCTTTGGAACCCGCCCCAAAGAATCTTACAACGTCCAGCTCCAGCTCCCAGCACGGGTGGGCTTCAGCCAAGGGGAGGTGGATAACCCGAAGAGAGGAGTGTATTTCAGCTTGACTAGCACTGAACAGTCTGTGAAAAATCTCTCTCAGTAAGTAACATGGAACTTAAGCCCTTTCCTGTTTGAATTTAAGGGCACTTAGGAGGTACCTGAACTCAGTGACCATAAGACCATTAAATAATCTTGTGGTGGCTTCCAAGCAAGGCATCAGGTCAAAACGAGGAGCTAGATTAAACCCTGGGAGAATCAAGTTAACCAAAATATAAAAGGTCCTTTATTTTTCCTGCCCTATTGGATAGAAATATCAAAATCAGAACTGTGTGTATGTATTTGCAGAACCACTGAGGCTTGCTATGCACAACATTGCTCTTGCAACTACATAAAAATATCCAGTAATATAACTGCCTAGATTGAGGTTTTCCAGGTTAATCATTTCATAGGAGGAGACACTGTGATTTAGTCTTTTAGACAGATACTGTTAAAAATTAAATGAAGAGTAATGTAATTTGGAAAAAATAAATAAATAAAACCGATTGGTAGATATTTAGAAGTCTTAGTATTTCTTTATGTCTTAGTACCTGAAATCCTATTCATTGGTTTTCCATGAGGTAGCCAGAATTGAACCCAGTTCTTACTCCCATCAGTGGCTTACTCTGTGAGTACAATAACAAGCCCTTCTGCATTTTGTCAGTCCAGATAGTGCCAGTATGAGATTTATTAACCTTAGAGCTTAGCGGTTTTTTTTTTTTTTTTGTCTTTTTTTTTTCAATACTAGTTTAAAAACTGCAGAAGTCAAAGATGATCCTATCTTTCTCAAGAGTTGGTTCATTCATTCCTACACTAGGCAGGCAGGGTGGTGATTGGTCATGTTAATCAACTCTTGAGACAGAACCCATTGGTTCCTGGCCTCTCTTAACTGCTTCTTGGTTTCATTAAATCATTCGTGGGTATGGGAACACTTACACTTTTGCATGCTGTCTACTGTGCTCAGCTACCAGAGAGTGGGCACTATGGCCAGATATGGTTACTCAGAGCTGGTATTTATTGAGAGCTTACTATTTGCCAACCATTGTGCTAAACACACTTCAGAGGTTACCTTAATTAAAACTCGCAAGAATCAAAGGAGGTAAATACTACTATTTTCTCGATTTTATAAATGAGCTTAGGAAAATCAAGTACGTTGCCTCTGATCTCAAAGTGATTAAATGGCAGGCCAGAATCCAAGCACAAGTCTGGAGCTCTGAACTACTTACTCTATTTTATGCTGAGTCCTTGTCTTCATTCCCATTCTTATGACCCACCTTGGGCATCTTTACTTCTCCATCTAGACTGCTGCTTAGTCTAGGCTCTGGAGCAAACTTAGCTCCTTGTTCTCTCTCCTATGTTTCCACCCTCCTCATCTACTCGGGAGCTCACAGACTCTCTATTCTGTGGAGAGCTCATTATGGAGAGACATTATAGAGAGCTCAAAGCAGGTCAAGTATTAGAAATACAAGGATTTCTAAGGCCCAGGCCCTGCATCCCAACAACCTGTACTTCTAGTAGGGTAGACAGACAGATAGATAACAATCACAGAACATTGGAATAAGTGCTGATGTCTACACAGGGTAAAGGAGGAAGTGGGGGACAAAAGCCTATGGGCTTTTTGTGTTTTCCCACCAGAGCCATAATGTCCCCTAAGAACGAACACATGCACACTCATGTACACACACACACACACACACACACACACACACAGCACTCCATTTACCCCCCTCCATGCCTCCTCTCATTTTTATCTTTGAAGCTTCCCAGAAAGCTCGGAATTGCTTGATGAGAGCAGAATAAGATAAGATATAGGGCCAAAATTACTGACAAAGGGATTTTTCTTTAGTGAAATTCCTAAAAAATAAAGTACACAGTGTAAGATAGTGTGAAATAAAACTAAAAATGGCCCATGGTCACTATTTCAAATGATAGGTAGTGTTAATAGTCCTTCCAGAAATTTAGGTATATGCAAAAACTTTAAAATCACATTCATCTTTTTTGTTGTTGTTGTTTAAGTGTTTTAAAGTAAGTCACAGACATCATTCCAGTTTATTCCTAAATACTTCAGTATGCATCTCTAAAGAGTAAAGTTATTTTCCTAGTCAATGGAATCTTTCTCTTTCTCAAACTTGTCTCATAATGATAAGCTCAAAGGTCATAAGCTACATAATTCATAGTGTTTGTCATACTCTTCTGCACATTTAAATATGAATGCACACATTTGCATTTTTTGAGATTGTTCTTTTCTGTCTCCTAGAAAACAAGACAGTAGTTACTAAGTACTTCTCATGTGCAGAGCCTGTGCTAGGCATCTTATGTGGTTTTCTCACTTAATCTTCCCAACAATCCAGGGTGGAAGACATTGTCATCCCATTTTGTAGCCTGCTTATCCTTTCTAGGAAATAAATTAAGTTCTTTTTTTATTTTTTATTTTTTTTAAAGATGACAGGTAAGGGGATCTTAACCCTTGACTTGGTGTTGTCAGCATCACGCTCTCCCAAGTGAGCTAACTGGCCATCCCTATATATAGGGATCCGAACCCATGGCCTTGGTGTTATCAGCACCACACTCTCCCAAGTGAGCTATGGGCTGGCCCTTAAATTAAGTTCTATCACTATACTTTCCAAATGACCTTGGGTTTTAAAATAAATTGGTTACTTTCCTATCATGAATGATGACCAAAGCCAGGGTAATGATTTGTATCTAATTAGGAGTTTATTTTACTTAGCTTTTAACTGCCATAATTTGTATTTTCTTAGCGTCAAGAAAAAATTTCACAGCTGCAACACCTCTAATGTGATAATAAACTCAATATCCTCAGATCTCTAGGATTTTTCTCTTCTCTAATGTTCCTTATCTGCTTGCCAATAAGCACCAACATAAATTCTTATGAACTTACCAAATATACATATCATATTGCACACAGGATCACAGTTTTGCTTTCTATGCTCTTCTTTCCCTAAATTAACTACAATCGGAGCAGCAACAGCATATACATACACACACAAATACACACACATGAGAGAAAGACATTCTCAAATTGTATTGAAAAATATTACTATAGAAATCCACATGAACATGATGAGTACCTACCCAAATGAGCAAAAGTCTCTTGTTCTTATACAATTCAATTAACTTCTTATTATCTCATTAGTCATTAACTTTTATTCCTCATTGCTGACTTCTGAGGAAATTCCTTAGCATGGGTGAATTTGAGCATGGTATTTTGTATGTCAGAGGATCACACAAACTGGTGTATTCCAGCTAGCCAGACTCTCATTTGCTCAAGTTTTCCCTTATTTTTGGAAATTTTATATGCAGTTTTTCTCTTTAGGTTGTACTGTTGACTCAGAAGTAGCACTAAATGGAATCCATGATCTTGTCTTGTGGTAATAATGAGTGAGCTGTTTCTAGATGTTTCTGGAAAGACCTCTCACATATGACCCTTCACATTTTGATTAAGCTACTTTCTTATGTACCCCTTAACTTTGTTCTGCATTCTTTCAAAAATTTTTTTGACTCAGGCATTTATATTTCTTTTAATTTTTTTACACTGATTCACCATTCTTTGTGAATTAGTTGATTAGCTCATGTGAATAAACAGTGAAATGTCTAACATTCTGTAGAGTAATGATGGTTTAGATACTGATTGATTATAGAGTATTGGTTTTCCATTGTAATATAATGTAGATGTTTAGAGCATGGACTTTAGTGTTAGTATTGACTTCAGGGCCAGACTCTTCCAGTTATTAGTTATGTGATCTTCAGACGATTAGGTAACCTCTCTGAACCTATTTTCTCCTCTGTAAAACTGGGCCTGATCAATGTCTCTGCCTTGCAGTTTATACTGAAAAATGTCAAGCACTTGGCATAGGGGCTGGCTAGTAAAATACTCTCAAAAGCATATAGTAGTCGTTGTTATTTAACTGTTTGGCGAAGATCCTTAAGCATACGTTTCCTTGAGTGAGTTACAAGATTTCAGACAAGTAGAGGAAAGATTAAATTCTCCCATGTTTCCTATTTGTTTTCAAATAGCCAGATTTTAGATAGGACATTTGGATTATAGAGCAGATTTACAACTTGAAGGTCTGGCATTCTGTGGACACATGATCTTTGAAACATAATGTTAAATAAAAGGTAGTTTACATCAAAATTACCATTTAATTCTTTTAGTCACCATGTAAGTCTGCTTTTTTTGCTTTCATACACCAGTGAAAATTCTGAAGCTGATCTCAGTAGTCTTTCAGTTTTATAATGTTAAATAAAAGGTAGTTTACATCAAAATTACCATTTAATTCTTTTAGTCACCATGTAAGTCTGCTTTTTTTTGCTTTCATACACCAGTGAAAATTCTGAAGCTGATCTCAGTAGTCTTTCAGTTTTAAGTTAAATTGTTCACCTTTGTAGGAAAGTGGGCAAATGGACACTTTTGTCACAATGAACTGTTTCCTTTTTATTTAGACTAAGCAACCTGGGGATTCCTGGAGTGTGGGCTTTTCACATCGGCAGCACCTCCCCATTGGACAATGTCAGGCCAGCAACAATTGGAGGACACCTTTCCACTGCCTACTCTTTGGCTCCCCTGGAAAATCCCTTGAGCCATAATGTATTCCTAGAAAGCGACTATTCTGAGGACAATTTAAACTGTGCTGATGAGAGTGAAGAGGAAGTTGAATATCCCCCTAGTAAACCAGAGGAGGCATTGAATGGCCGCAAAAGTATTGATCTTCTCTACTACTTGAAATCAAAATCTAATTCAGGGCCTTTAGGAGGTGGGTTCTCTCCTAAGGATTCTGATTTGGCCTCCCCTTTGCCATATCCATTACCTAGTGATTGGCCAGAATCTGCCACCTGGGACCCTCAAACCAAAGAGGGATCGTCTCTGGAGAAGGCAGAGGCCCAGGATTTAAAAGGCCAAGCTGAACCTTTGAACCAGACAGGAACCAGAAGCTTGGCTCCATCAAAGGTAGATGGAGATTCACTGGCTCCTTCCCAGGAAACCCCACCACCCTACCCTGGAAACAGAAGCATCCAACCCTACCCAGATGGAGGGGCAGTGCTTTCAGAAAGGGATGTTCCTCCAGCCCATCCTGAAGATCACTCCCCACCAGTGAGTCACGAGAGGAACATAGTAGGAGTGGAAGACTATGACAGTTCCAACACGCAGGGTAAGTGCATTAGAAACAGGGTGCTGAGATTTCACTTTTAAAATGCTGGTTTTGTGTAGAGTTGTGATTTTTTTCTCAAGTGTGTAGGTGAAAAGTTTAGCAAAAAGAAGACTATAACTGTGTTTATAACTAATCCCTGTGTTTCAGGAGATAGAGTAAATTTCCTTTGCCAAATAAATGTTGGCAGGCAGATTCTGTTTGGAATCTCTTGATCATTAATACTGTTTTTTAAAAACGGGCCTCATGAAGTGAGTGGGAAGAACGGGTCGCTCATGCCAGCTCTGCGCTCCAGAGTGATGAAGTATTTCAGTGTGAAAGTTCAGCAGAGGTGAAACCTGGCGAGGCTTCGCCCACATTACAGCGATGGAGGGCCTCCTGCTTTTGTTTTAAGTGGCAAGTTGCCAGCTCCGATGAGCATGCCAGAATCGTGCTCTGATGCGACGAGCCTAGCACTCCCCTTAGTTAGATGCATTTATGGTCTGTGGGAGAGGAGAGCCCTTGGGGAGAGAAAATGATGAAACACCTGTGCCTGCTGTCATTTCTGGTTCATGATTGTGCAGCTGTGGCAGTCACCTCCCTGGAGACTTGTCCTCATTTCATGACTCACTGACCAGAGTGAGAGCAGGGAGGGCAATGCCCAGAGGAGGCAGCGTTTAATTAATACACACGTGAGCCCACACCTGGCCAGCTCTTCCTAGTTGAGACTTGTCGTGTGCGCTTCCCTCCCAGTCAGGGACACAGAGTCATGAGTGGGGAACTGACCACACATTCATTCCATTTGTTGCAGGGACTGCTCATCTGACCTCTGACACCTGGCCAGCTCTTCCTAGTTGAGACTTGTTGTGTGCGCTTCCCTCCCAGTCAGGGACACAGAGTCGTGAGTGGGGAACTGACCACACATTCATTCCATTTGTTGCAGGGACTGCTCATCTGACCTCTGACAGGAGGGAAGAATTAAGAGGTAAAAGCTTTCTTCCGAACCTCCTTTTCCCCCCACTTTTTCTGTTTCCTATCCTGGTTGTGGCAAAAACATGCTGTTCTAGCAAAGAGGGCCTTCTGGGTTCTTCTGCTGTGCTGTTCCCTTGCAGGAGTGTGCTTGGATTTTAGGAGGGAAGAAAAGATTTTGTGACTAAGGTGGCACTGTGTCATGATTAAAGGGAGAGTGCGTTAGTGTCAGATTTAAGTTTGCATCCTGGCTACCACACTTGCTGGGTAAGTTGAGGCAATTTATGTAACCTCCCATTTCTCATAAATTAGTTGGGAAGATAAGATGAGATAATGTACGTGAAGTTTTTAGGTGACTGCACCAGTTGGTTCTTTATAAATGGTGGCTGCTATTACTAATTTTAGAAGATTTAAAACAGTAGGAATGGGGTGGAGGATGAGTAGAGAATGAAGATTGTATTTATTAAGAGTTTTAGCTTAGATTATGCCTGAGGGACCACATTTTCATGAAGCTGAAGATGTGAATTTGATTGGAAGGCTTCAGAACTTTCAGATCCTCCTGAAAATCTCCAGACTTTTCAGTATGAGTGTATTACTCCGTTTCTGTTGCTTATAACAAACTACATGGAACTGGGTATTTTATAAAGAAAACGAGATTTATTGCTTACAGTTTCGGGGGTTGGGAGTCCAAAGTCCATGGGACACATCTGGTGAAGGCTTTTTTTGGTAGTGACTTCAGGGATGGCAGGGTATCACGTTGCAAAAATGGAGGAGCAGCAAGGGAGAGATTCACCATTTTTCTCTGCTTTTTGTTCTCTCCGGGTCCCAGCGGATTAGATATTTCCCACCCACATTGAGAGCAGATCTTTCCCATCCAGTCCACTCAGGCTTTTATACTAATCTTTGCTGGAAACACCCTCATGGACACACCTAAAAAGATAGCTTTACTAGGTTTCTTGGCATTCCTTAATCTAATCAAGTTGACATCTAGAATTAACCTTCACAATGATTTCCCTGTATCTGAAGATATTTTAAATCCAGTTATCAAAGATTTTCACAAAGGGATTTTGAAGTTAAGATGCTTTCCTAAATGGCCTTCTCATTTGTGGGTTGTGGTTTCCTGCCCCGGGAAGAGCTTGGGAATATTAAAAAGCAGACCCATTGAGTCATCTGTTAAAGAATTAAGAAGAGTCTGCATGCCCTGCTTTGAGCTGTGAAAGATCAAGATTGCTGGAGTAACAGTGCAGCAGGTTTATGGAACTGGCCATCAAGAACAGAAGGTAGCAGCCATAACTCTCAGGCGGCATGAGCTATGATATTTATCAGCTGCTGGGTGGAATCTACTACTAACATCTTGAAAATGGCAAAATGCATATGAAAAAGCTGGTCAATACACTGAGACATTTAAGAAAAAAAAAATCTAACTAAAACTTTTTGAACCTTGGAGGAAAAAAACCCACCATTTAAAAAAAAGGTGGTGGGGGGACTTAGGGAGATATGTGAAGCATAGATCATTTAAGAAAAAAAAAAATCTAACTAAAACTTTTTGAACCTTGGAGGTAAAAAACCCACCATTTAAAAAAAAGGTGGTGGGGGGACTTAGGGAGATATGTGAAGCATAGAAACATACAATTGGTAAATCTTTTTTTTTTGGCCATGAATCATTTCTTTCAAATAAAACATTGGAGCCCTCGGGGTCCATCAGGTAAACATGTTCTCATTCTGGGAAGCTGGTAGGTGGGGGTGGCAGAGGCCCCCAGAGAATGTTGCCTGGGTCACCTGCTAGCTCTTTCTACTGATGGAGAAGAAGGCATGTGGTTTTTGGTGCTAAGTGGACTTGAGGCTGATTCTCAGCTTTCCTATGTGGTTTGGGGTAAAACATACTCTCTTTGACCTCGTTTTCCTCAGCTATAAAATGAAGATAATGCAGAACTCATTAAGTACTTGTGCAAATTAAAATTGGAGTTAGGAAGCACCATGCCTAATAAAGTTTAATTTCCCTTTTTCAGCTTCATAGTTGTCTTGCTAAAGCAAGAAGATTTAAAGGCCCAGAAAATCTTTTTTTTTTTTTTTCTCCTTAGGGACTCTTTTTACTGACTTTTTGTTCAGAAGTCTAGATTATTTTCAGATCATGTCTACACCAGGCAAGAATGTCCCAGTTGCACTCTAATTCTGGCTTCAAGCATATTATTTGATTTATTCTGTTTTCGTAGGCCACAGAAAGGGCAGCATAGTAGATGTGTAAGCATCTTTTGCCTGAAGCGTCTTGTTTTCCAGGGAGCTCCAGGAGTGTTGTCAAGCCAAAAAGTTACCTGAGCACCTGCCACATTACTCTTCTCTGAACTAGGCACTAGTGGAAGTTTTCACTAGTATTTATTGAGTATCCACTGGGTCTCCAGGTGGGAACTTGGCTTTAGATTGTATTATCACGGTAAGTCCTCCAAATTGCCCTGTGAGGTAGATCTGTTGTCAAGCCAAAAAGTTACCTGAGCACCTGCCACATACTCTTCTCTGAACTAGGCACTAGTGGAAGTTTTCACTAGTATTTATTGAGTATCCACTGGGTCTCCAGGTGGGAACTTGGCTTTAGATTGTATTATCACGGTAAGTCCTCCAAATTGCCCTGTGAGGTAGATCCTACTATCCTTCCCATTTTACAGAGATGAAAAACCTAGAAATACTTAGCAACTTTCCTAGGAAGAGGCAGACCAAGGCGGCAACAAAGCCATGAATAATTAGGGAAAGCTGTACGGTAGGTACACAGTGAAGGGTGCCTCCTGTGTCAGGGAAGTCTTCATGAAGGAGAAGGGGCTTGAGCCACGCCTTGGGATCAGAGTCTGAGTTGAGAGAGGGAAAAAATATGGAAACCTAGACAGAGAAGTGACAAAAGTGGAGGTTTAGAGGTGGAAGTGGGGAGTGGAGAGAGGGAGATGGACAGACAGAGAGGAGGTGGGAGAAATCAAGGGGAAGGCTGGAGTTTGCAGCGAGGTCCTCAGCTCACGGGAACAGGGACTGCCTGTGTTGTGAGGAGCAAGGAATGAGGTTGCTCACAAGATTCTTAGATGTTCTTAAGCCTGCTGAGGTAGTGCTATAAGCAGCTTCATTTAACCTCAGTCTGCATGACCAATTAGGAAGAGGGAGGGACACCTGGCTTTCACATGTAGAGACTCCATTTGGGGATCCTCCTCCTCCCGGGATGGCGGGTCATGCTGGGAAAGCCCAGTGTGAGAGCAGGGATTCCCCTGTGGCCCCCACTCCCACTCCATTTTTGACAGGAGTGTGTCGCTCACTCAACTTTCACCCTGGGATGAATTCAAGCAGGCTCTGCTGTCGGAGCCCTCCCCTGGGTGCACCTCCATTTTGCTGAGGGTCTGCAAACAGGAGGGCTCCCCACACCTGTGAAGATGCCTGCATGGGAGATTCCTCTTTAGGGGCTCTGTTCCTTCAGCAGAATTGGAGAGTTAGTGTTGTGAGGGCAGACGTAAACAGCAACCCCCAGCTTCCTGATCACTGTTTGCCACCAGCATCACTATGCACCATATGCATACATCAGAAACAAACACGAAAACTGGAGGGAAAAGCATAGCATGTCAGTGTTTTTCATTATAAAGTAGGATGTGGTTTTTCTAACTAGTCCATCATTCTGGGAGATGGGGAAACAAAAAAAATCCGTCCTGCAGTGAAAGTGTTAGTTCTTTTTCTTGAGTTAGCAGCAGGAGTTGTTAAAAGTATGTCACTCCACCGGCCCCGGGGCAGCCCCATGCACAAAGCAGTCTGTCTGCCTCTGCGTTTCCACAACGAACTCCGTCCCCACTGTGGCCTGGCCGTCCCCCATGTGGCTGGGCCAGAGCCCTCAGTGAAGGAGGGCGGGCAAGCTAAAGGCTGAAGACAAGTGCTTAAGTGCTTCTGGAAAAATGAAGATTGAACGATGGGGCAGAACAAGTGCAAAGGAGAATTTTACATTTTTGTTAATTCCCAATTAAGACAAGTCTCAAGTACTTTGTCAATGCCTTTGCATCTTTTCTCTTATGTATCCCTAACCAACCCCACCCCCACCCCCCACCTTTTCTTTTTCTGTTAAGGATATCAGAAGAGTTTTAAAAAAAGAAAAAAAAAGGCACTAAATGGAAAAAACGTGCGATTTAAAAAATCCTCTGTTAAGATTGCTTTAGCAACTATCAAAGCTCAGTTAACAAATCTGTGACAAACTCATTCAAACCTGGCAGCCTCAGCCCTACAGCTGTGCCCCGAGGTGCCAGCAGACTTGTCTCTTGATCGTTTTGACTCTCCCTGGCAGGAGCTCTCTGGCAGAACACGGGTCCGGAGAGTCTGGCAACAGCCTACCCATGTGGGTAAGGTCAGGAGAGAGGAGGCGATGGAATAAAAACTATGCAAAGGTACTTCCAAAAGCTCATGGAAAGATTCATCGTATATTTTAATTCTATTTTTCCACGAACTTTTTGAAGTACCCTTGTATTTATTAGAGTGTGGGCTCTAGTCCACCTTCATCTAACTTACCTGGGGCCCTGGTTAAAAGATTTCCGTGCTGCTCCTCCACCTTCCAAGCCAGAATCTGCATTGTCAGTCTTGGTCCCCTGGTGATCCTGTTGCCCACTGAACTTAAACACTTACTGCTGGTATAATGGAAAGAGCATAGGATGTAGAGCCAGAAGATCATTTAATCTCCATAGCCCTCAGCTTTCTCATCTGTGAGATGGAGATATCTTTTTACCAGAATAGGTAGAAGTATGTGAAAATACATTCAGAACTCTGCTGTAAAAGGGGCATCCAAATGACCACTGAAAAGAAAAAGTGCCATTTTTTCTTTGGATGTACTCACTGCACACCTCATCCAGCTGGGGTGCAGACCTTGATTCCAAACCTTCAGGTACTTCAGCGTCTTTGAATCTAACCAGACCCATAGAAATCTGAGAAATCACATTGCCCAGAAGTCTGACTTTTCTTGCCCTGGATAACTAGCCACATGTGGGATCACGTTCCTAGTTCTCCCCCTTCATCAGGGAAAGGATCTGACCACTGTGCTTGTGCTGCCTCCGCTAAAGGATCCTCATGTTGCAGTCTCGTGGACCGAGGCCCATGTGAGCCATGAGCACTGAGCTTCACTTCTCAGGTGGCCAGGAATGAAGAGCTTTCCCTGACATTCTTCCCACTCCAGGAGCAGCTAACTGGTCAGATTCAATTTATTAACTATATTGATGAGCAATCCCTGGCTCAGAAATGGGAGGCTTATGAATATGCTGTACTGGAATTACTTGGGGAGGGGCTGAAGTGCAGATTCTAAGAATCCACCCTTTGAGTTGGAATTGGTAGGTCCAAATGGGCCCTCAGAATTTGCACTTTCAGCAGGCAACTCAGGTGATCCTGAGGCGGTAGTCCCTGGAATCCGTATGGGGAAACACATTTCTCCTAGTGAAGGGTTGAATGGTGCCATGCTGAGGGTGTAAGTTGCCGTCAAGGCTGGGGTGAATTTCGCTGATGCCTCTTAGCTGTTGCCTTGAACTCCTGATCTTGTGCAAACCTGCTCCTCCGCAGTTTCCCTATCTCATTAAATGGCAGCTCCACACTTCCAGTTTCCCGTGCCAAGTCTTCACCGTCATCCTGGACTCCTCTCTGTCTCTCACACCCCACATCCAATACATCAGCAAACCCTGTTGGTTCTGCCTCCAAAATATCCCAGATCTTGTCCCTTCCCAGCTTCTCTGCCAGCACTTCTTACTACCAAGGCACCAGATCATTCCTGATTTTTACTGTAAGTCAGATCATGTCATTCTTCTGCCGAAACCTCCAGTGGGTTCCCGTCTCACTCACCCTAAAGCCCAAATCCTTCCTGTGACCTAGGAGGCCCTTCGTGAATGGCGCAGGCTACCTCTCTGCTCGTTGTTCCTCCCACATGCCCACACGACCTTCCTGCCCTACACAGCTCCCTGCCTGCTTGTGCATGAGGCTCACCTCCTCACCTCCTCTTCTAGGCCCCTGCCCAAAGGTCAGGTCTTCCCTGACCCTGCTATCTAAAAAAGCAAAACACACCTGCCCCCACCTGCTCTCTTGTCCTTTCTTGTTTTATTTCTCTGCACAGCTCTTACCGCATCCACCATTCTAAATAGTTTGCTTGTTTATTGACTGCTGTCCAGGAGAATTCAGGACAGGAATTTTTGTCTCTTTTGGTCCCCACTATATCCCCAATTTCTAGACCAGTGTCAGGCCTATAGTGAGTGCTCATTATTTGTCAAATTATTAAATGAATGAAAGAAAATTGCTAGAGGTATTTACCTTTCACCTAACAAGCTGCCATTGTAAGTGTTAAGAGTGCAATCTGTGTGCACCTGGGTGTTAAAGCAGATGTGGGAGCCTTACGTTCCCCCTGATTAGGTGTGAACCCATCTTCTTTCCTTATTGTGGCTGTCATGGGGCTGGAAGAGTGTGTGTTCTTGGCTCAGTGAGTTCCATGCTAAAAATGCAATTTTCCATAAACAGTTTAAAAAGATCCCCAAGGTAGCTTACCAATAATTTGCAGGTAGAAAATGTGTAGAGTTTGATTTTATATTTATCTGAATTTCATGAAAATGACTACCCTTTACACCTGCATCAGATTGCCTTTTTACTGTGGTGCTCAGACGTACATGAAGAAAAAATAATTTCTGGCACTGCTGGTGTGAGAAAGGGGGTGTCATCCTGGTTTAGCGATGAGGAAGCTGGGACAGACACTGCGATTCCATGGTTTCCACAGAGCCCCCCCGAGTGATCGGTGAGGTTGAGTCTTAGAGCCTGGCGCCTTCTCCAGCCCCTCATCCCTCATGTTCTGGAAAGAGGGTCCTGATGGCGATGTATGCCAGGAGCACACCTGCGTGTGTGCCATTCCCCAAGGAGCTGCTGCTTTACACTTAGCTGTGACTTTGACACACCCAAGTTACGTTCATTTTTATTCAAAATGTTTTTTCCCTTTCTTAAACCAACGATAGACAGTAATATATAGTTTTCTCCACAGCAACCTCTATAATATTTTCGTTGGGATCCATTCTAATTTTTTCTGCTGTACGTTTTTCTCCTTTTTTAAAAAAAAAAAAGTTGAGTTATGCCTAATATTCTATTTTTGCCAAACTGGAATTTCTCAGTCAAATCATCAAAGCCCTATACCAAATCTTCAGTCACAAACTTCATTCTTACTATGTTCCTAATCAGATTTTCCACTTGAACCTGGCTAGGTTATTTGTTTGTCCTGCCAACCCTGCACTTGCTGCGTTTTCAGGGATCCTTGAGCAGCACTCAAACACTGCCCAAAAGTGAATGCTACTCCTGCTACCCCTGCTTCTTCTCACCCGTGCTTTTTCCGGCATGCTGTGATATTCATCTGGATAATCTCTGCTCTCTTCTGCCATTAAGCCTGATTTATAAAGTATGATTCACATCTGACTTGCTGAAGCCTATGCTGAGTAACCCCAAACACCCAATCAGATCCTTAACCTAGTGCACATGATAAGCGTACTTGGGTCCCACTGGAGGAGGAGTAGAGAGTAGTGGTTAAGATTCTGCAGCCAGACTTCCTGGGTTCAAATCCTGCCTTTGCCATTCACTGCCTTCAGGAGAGTCACTCTAATCCTCTGTGCCTTGGTTTATCTGCAAAATCGGGATTAAAAACATTCCCTGTCACTTAGGGCTCCTGTACAAATTAAGAGTTGACAGACTTAAAGTTTGTAGAATAGTATATGGCATATGTTAAGTGCTATTTAAATGTTAACTTGTTATATTTTTATTTGATGATACAAGTCTTTATACTTGCTATATTGTTACATATATGGTGCTATATCTTCCCCATCAGTTTTTGTTTTCTGTTCTCCCCTGATTATGAGGTTAAAAAAATATCTTTTAGATTTCTTTTTTCCCCTCCCATTTCCTCCTTTTCCCACCTAAACCTGGAACACAACTACCACCTAGTTTTCCTCAGAGTAGGATATGCTTCTTCCTCGGGAGCTGGCACTTGGTGCCAGCATCGGTGTCTTACACCAGGATTCCGGGCCATCCCTGCTTTATCAGCCCGCTCCTGGGGACACAGAGGCAGAGGCGTGTGCAGTCGCTTTCCCTTCTGATGGCTCTGCTTGGGACTGACATATTCCCCAGTGTCCTGGCAGAAAGCACCCTCTCACCTGTGTCCCCCAGCCACACCCCACCCCCTTGGCCATTTCCTTTGTGGACAAGGGCATTCACTCCAATTGCCCTGTTTCTTTGTAGCCAAATGGCTCTCTTTCTTTTTCTTTTAATGGGCAGAGTAAGTGGGAGATGGAAGAAACAGCTACAGGAGTCTGGACCACCATGGCTTCCTAGAAAATCTGTGACCATAGCCAAGCTCTCTCCTGTTGCATGGAAATCATGCTCGTGCTGTAACTATCACAGTGAACCTTGCAAAGAGCATAGGGCATTTTAGCAGCTGGATTCCCTGTCCCTTTGCCCCTCCTCCACACCTTCTCCCCATACACTTTAAGGTATGTGGTATGTATTCATTCTTTAAGGCCCTTCTCTTTCAAACTAAAGAAAAAAAAATCTGGATAGTGAAACCAGCTATACCAGCTATAAGTTGTTTAAAGTAACCTTGAATTAAAAAAAAAAATAAGCAAGAGAAGAGTGGTTAGACATAAGACATGTGTTAGCTCTTTTCTCACGAGGTCATTAGTATTAAGTTGAACCATATAAAATTGTTAATATTTGGCCATTTTTGAACCACAGAAATGGTGGTTTCATAAAATTCAACCTCACATCCACTGACTGGCTTGCTTTCATTTCGCTCCACTGCTGCCACGGTGGTGCAGCCTCATCTTGGTTCACCTGCTTTGCAGTGAGACCCAGATGGGAGCAGTAATCAGGACTTCTTGCCAGCGGACCAAGCGAGTTAATTCCCCGGGGTGGCATGTGATTCCTGTCTCTTCAACATCAAAACCTGATCTGTTTATTACAATCTAAACCAATTTTATGGAGCAGATGCTGTGTCCATGATGAAGCTTGGCAAGGACGCTGGAATCACTTAATCCTTTTAATGCAAGTTTGTTTTATTTTTCAGTTTCCAAGGTGGAAACCTGTGAACACAACCACGGGCAGTGTTCCTGGCACGCCTTCTGCACGGACTATGCCACCGGCTTCTGCTGCCATTGCCAGTCCAAATATTTTGGGAATGGGAAGCACTGTCTGCCTGAAGGTGACTGACTTGGGCTGGGGGCTGCTCTGTGTGGATATTCCTGCCATTTGTTTCCAGCTACCACTGTGAGCTCTGCTTTATGGGCCTCACACCTCCACTACTGGAATCAAAGTGCCAGCAACTTGCAGGTGCTCAATAAATGTTTGAGGAATGAAGAGGTTTGGGCTGATTTCTCAACTTGGCGATTACCTGGAAATCTCTCCTCTTTTCTGCCAGCTCATTACAGCCAAAGTAGAGGAGAGAAAGGGAGGGTGGGAGGAAGGAGATCACAGACAGGACTGTTTCATAGATGGATAATTGGTTGGTTAGGGAATTGTTAAAATGACTCGCTAAAAAGTACGTTTTGGGAGTTTTCAGTGGAATTATTTTATCTGTGTATGCCCATCCCCGGCCTGGACTATGGCTAAGGCTGAAGGATGTGCTGTCTTTCAGGGACACCTCATCGCATCAATGGGAAAGTGAGTGGCCACCTCCACGTGGGCCAAACACCTGTGCACTTCACTGATGTGGACATGCATGCTTACGTCGTGGGCAATGATGGCCGAGCCTACATGGCCATCAGTGACATTCCGCAGCCAGCTGCCAAGGCCCTTCTCCCCCTCACGTCAATCATAGGCCTGTTTGGTTGGCTCTTTGCTTTAGAAAGACCAGGCTCTGAGAATGGCTTCAGCCTCACAGGTGAGCAGGAACTCTGAGAGAGAGGACAGCCAGTGCTGCTTTGGGGTGTTGCTCCTTGGGCCGTGCTGTGGGTATTTATACAGTGAAGGAGGGTTTGCTCGTTTAATGTTCTAGAGCCATAGGTGTGTAGTTTTCTGTCCAACGGGTCGCTGGGGATGGTTTGGCCTCTCATGACTGCAGCTTGAAAAACAATGATTTCTTAACATTCCTGCAGCTGTTCTGAGAAATAGAATGATTCCATTTGGAACATTCATATTCTCTTACAACAGTTTGTTGAGGCATATTTGTCAGGCTTTGTTTAATTGAGTTATTATGCACAGATCTGTTGAACAGGGATGCAAAAATGGTACTTATAGGTCACATGGAGATGATTTTACTTCAGGGGGAAGGGTTATCTTTTCTCTCCTCCCACCCCCATGTCCCTGACCTATAATAGTATAGACCTGTGTTTCTAAGACTTTAATCTGCAAACAAATCACCTGGAGGTCTTGTGACCATGCAAATTGTGATTCAGTAGGCCTGGGTGGTATCTATGATTCTGCTTTCCTACAAGGCTCCCAGGAGAGGCTACTGCTGCTGGTCTTAAGGACCACCCTTTGACAGCAAGGGTGTATAGGACACTTCTTGGCTTCTCACTTCCCCACCCGAAAGAGCTTGTTTCCTGGTGGCTTTATCTTTATTGCATGTAAAATAAAGTGCTATGAGAAGTTTTCTCCCCACCTCCAACTGTAGAGCTCAGTGGCTGGTTTTTTTTTTAAGTTTATTAATATTTTTTTACATTCTATGATGTTGTGGAGCAGTTGGGGTCGAGGGTAGAGCTCAATAGCTGTTTATAGGATCTTGCCTTTCATCACCCCCACCTCCAACTGTAGAGCTCAGTGGCTGGTTTTTTTTTTTAAGTTTATTAATATTTTTTTACATTCTATGATGTCGTGGAGCAGTTGGGGTCGAGGGTAGAGCTCAATAGCTGTTTATAGGATCTTGCCTTTCATCAAGATTTGAATAAAACGTTGGGTCAAAAGTAGATAGATAAAAGTATTGGACACCCAGTAAAATTTGAATTTCAGGTAAACAATGAATAATTTTTTATCATAAGTATGTCCCAGCTATTTCATGGGACACACTTACATGAAAAATACATTCATTGTTTATCTGGAATTTAAATTTAAGTGGATCTTTTGGGTATGTATGTTTTATTTTGCTTGTTTATTTGTTTTTGTTGTCTGGCAACCTTACAAAAGTCAAAGATACTCCCATCTCACAGAATACATGATCCCACAAAGAGCAGCAGTGTGAGGTAAGGCAGGATGAAACCCACTCTTTAAGTAGAAAATTTGGGACATTTATGTCAACAGCTGAAAGTACTTAGTCTTAGATATCAGATAATCTCCTTAGGCACCATCTCCAACAGCAGTAGAGATTGGGAGGAGGAAATATGTGCCAGTACTGGTAATTATCGAAGCCAGTCCTCTCTTCTTCCCTGTGCTGAATTTGCTTTTTCCTCTCCAGGTGCTACCTTTGTCCATGACATGGAAGTTGCTTTCTACCCTGGGGAAGAGAGGGTTCGTATCTCTCAAACTGCTGAGGGGCTGGACCCAGAGAACTCTCTGAGCATTAAGACCAGCATTCAAGGCCAGGTGCCTCACATCCCTGAAGATTTCATAGTCATCACTCCTCCCTACAAGGAGTTTTACCGTTACTCAGACTCAGGTGTGTAACCAGGTTTCACATCTATAACGGGGATAGTACCTTCCTCCCAAGATAGTTATGAGGATTAAATGAGTTACTATATGGAATGTCCTAGAACAGTGCATGGCACATAAAATGAGCTTATTATCATTCTTGTTATAGATATTATCAAATATATAGTGTAAATGAGCAAAGTACTGGCTGCTATACACAAGAGCATCAAAATTCCTACACAATACTTTTAAATAATAACAATAATATAGCCAATAACAACATTGTCTATGTGGGTGGGTAGGGATGGTATAATTACATACCATTTTTAACCATCCTACTGTCTGGGGCATAGAAAACATATTGATGATTGGAATTTATATTTTTCCTGTAATCTTGTTTCAGCTAATGATCTCAGCATGTTTTAAAAATCATAGAGATGCTGCACAGTATTGTAAAACTAATGATAGATTTGGAGTCACAAGATGAGAATTCGTATCCTGAATTTGCCATTTAAAATCTATGGGGAGGATCACTTAACTTCTGAGAGCCTATTTTCTCAACTTTACCATGGGAATAAAAACACCTTTTCTGTGTACCTTACACAGTTGATAATGTGTGCTGTAAAACATTAGCTGCATGCAAGATACTGCTTCAATCACAGTTGCTGTGCTGTGCACAGTGGTTTGGTTTGACTTTTGACTTTCCTCTGACCCCTGCTTCTCCTATATGCATGAACTGGAAGCTGGGCAGGAGATGTAGGGAGGACAACGGGAGTGAAGACCTGTACTGTGCACACAATAGCCAGTGGCCAGATAACTGGCCTGGGCTCGACTCCTAGACTCAGGTTGAGAGAAGTGACCCTGTCCTTTCCTTTCTCTGGAAACCTTCAGACCTAGTGAAGTGCAAGACATTGGAAGCCATCACCTCTGTGCAATATAGAGGATGGATTGGTTAAAAACTTGGAGTGTAGAGTCAGACCGACTAGAGTTCTAGTTCCAGCTCTACCACATACCAGCCTTACTTCTTAGGCTGCTTACTTAGCCTCTGTAAGCCGCTGCTCACTGTGATCCTCACCTTGCTGGGCTGTTGTGAGCAATACATGAGGCGGTAGGTAGAGAGCACTTGGCATGGCTGGCACATTGAAATATTTATTCTTTGCATATAATGACAGCAACAACTGCAGTACCTCCTCCCAGCACTGTGGCTTTGTACCCACTCAGGCTCTTGGAGTTTCATTGCAAGTTTCCCATATAAACTTAGGGAATTCACAAGGGAACATGAAAAACTGTGCAGAAAAATTCATCCCACATGACAAACTCTGTATTTAATATTTTAAAATTACCAATTTGCCTGCATAATGTATTTATTGCAGTTGTGACCTCCACAAGTTCTAGAAACTACTTTCTCAGAACAAGTGCAGCCGAGCAAACACAGTCCTTCCACATCAACCAGAATGTCACTTACCAGGTGTGCAGGCACGCTACCAGACGCCAGGCCAGCCCTACCACCCAGCAGCTGAGTGTGAACCAGGTCATTGCCATGTACAGCGAGAGAGAAAGTATGCTCAGATTCTCTGTGACCAGTCAGATTGGCCCTGTTGAAGGTAAGGTCTTTTTTTGTTGTGGTTGGGCAAAAATTACATCCTATTTGAGTAACCTTAGAACAATTCACAAAGTTTACATAGTGTTACCGAGTTCCAGGCTCTATGTTAGTACTGGGTGTTAGGGCAAATAAAGCAGGGTCCCTGTCCTTAAGAGAGAGGCAAACGTGGAACTTTCAGAACAGCGTCCCTTCCAAGGTCAGGAAATAGAGCACAGTACGTGTGGCGGGTTTCTAACAACACCCAATTGTATGTGCCAATCAGTGTGGGGCACACAGCTGTGAACAAGGTGGGGCTAAGATAGGAGGGAGGGTGATGCTGACAAGTATTTGTCACAGTTTTAATAAGTGCAGGGTGCTGTGAGTCTAGTCTGGAGGTTCAGGAAAGAGGTCCCTGAGGAAGTGACATTTCAGCTAACACTTAAAGGATGAGAAGGATTTCATCAAACCAAGGTTGGGCAAAAAGCCAGTGCCTGGAAAAATAAGATGGAACTTCAAGTATGAAAAACCCAGACTAATACACTTAATGGTGAAAGACTGGATGCTTTCTCCTTATGATCAGACACGGGACAGTGATGTCTGCTCTTGCCACTTCTATTCAACACCGTACTGGAAGTTCTAGCCAGGGAAACTAGGCAAGAACATGAAATGAAGGTATCCAAATGAAAGAAGTAAAATATTTCTATTCTCAGATCTTTTATGTAGAAAATCTAAGGAATTCACCAAAAATCCCCATTAGAACTAATAAGTTCAGCAATGTTGCAAGGTACAAAATCAATATACAAAAATTAATTGTATTTCTCTATTGTAGCAATGAGCAAACTGAAAATGAAATTAAGCAATTCATTTAAAAAAATTCTCAGGAATACATTTTCTAAAAGACAGAATACTTATACATTGAAACCTATAAAACATTTTTGAAAAAGATAAACAAAGACCCAAATAAATGGGAAGATGTTCTATGTTGATAGATTGGAAGACTTAATATTGTTAAAATAGCACAGTATTCTCAAATTAGTCTATGGATTCAACATAATGTCTATTAGAATCTCAGCTGGCTTCTTAATGGAAATGGAGAAGCTGATTCTAAAATTAATTTGAAAATTCAAGGAACTCAGAATAACCAAACCAATCTTAGAAAAGAAGCATAACGTTGGAGGCCTCATACTTCTTAATTTCAAAACTTAGAGTAATCAAGACAACGTGGTCCTAGTGTAAGGTCAGACACACAGATCAATGGAAGAGAGAAGTAAGAATCCAGAAATAAACACTCACATTTACAGTCAATTGCTTTTTCAACAAAGGTGCCAAAACAATTCAATGGAGAAAGAATAGTCTTTTTAACAGATGGTTCTGGGACAACCGACTATCCACTGACAAAAGAATGAAATTGGTCCCCTACCTCATGACATGTGCAAAAATCAACTCAAAATAGGTCAAAGGCTGAATGTAAGAGCTAAAACCTTTAGAAGAAAACATATATTCCTGTGACCTTCAATTTGGCAATTGTTTCTTAGCTATGACATGAAAAGCATAAGCAACAAAAGAAAAAGTAAATCAGTTGGGTGTCATCAAAAATTTAAAAATTTGTGCTTCAAGGAACATTATTAACAAAGTGAAAATACAACCCATGGGATGGGAGAAAATATTTTATTTTATTATTATTTTTTTTTAAAAAGATGACCGGTAAGGGGATCTTAACCCTTGACTTGGTGTTGTCAGCACCACGCTCACCCAGTGAGCCAACCGGCCATCCCTATATGGGATCTAAACCTGTGGCCTTGGTGGTATCAGCACCGCACTCTCCCGAGTGAGCCACAGGCCGGCCTGGGAGAAAATATTTTAAACCATATGTTTCATAAGAGACTTATTCTAGAATATATATTACTACAACTCAGTAAAAAAGAAAAGATAAATCATTTACTTTAAAGATGAGCAAAAGATCTGGAAAGACACTTCTCTAAAAATGGTAAACAAATATCCAGTGAGCATACGAAAAGATGCTTGACATCATTAGTCATCAGGAAAATGCAAATCAAAACTACAGTGAGGGGGCCGGCCTGTGGCTCACTCGGGAGAGTGCGGTGCTGATACCACCAAGGCCACAGGTTTAGATCCCATATAGGGATGGCCGGTTGGCTCACTGGGTGAGCGTGGTGCTGACAACACCAAGTCAAGGGTTAAGATCCCCTTACCGGTCATCTTTTTAAAAAAAAATAATAATAAAATAAAATATTTTCTCCCATCCCATGGGTTGTATTTTCACTTTGTTAATAATGTTCCTTGAAGCACAAATTTTTAAATTTTTGATGACACCCAACTGATTTACTTTTTCTTTTGTTGCTTATGCTTTTCATGTCATAGCTAAGAAACAATTGCCAAATTGAAGGTCACAGGAATATATGTTTTCTTCTAAAGGTTTTAGCTCTTACATTCAGCCTTTGACCTATTTTGCATGTGGATGGCTATAATGAAAACAGGTAATAGCTGGTGCTAGTGAGGATGTGGAGCAATGTGGACCCTCATACATTGCTGGTGTGAGTGTAAACTGATGCAGCTACTGTGAAAAACAACAGCAGTTTCTCAACAAGTTAAACACAAAGTTACTGTTTGATAGAGCAATTTTACTCCTAGTTATATACCCAAGAGAAATGAAAACATGTCCCTGCCAAAAGTTGTACACAAATATTTGTAGCAGCATTATTCATAAAAGGCAAAAGGTGGGAGCAACCCAAATGCCCATTAATTGATGAATGGATACAAAAAGTGTTGTATATCCCTACAATGGAATATTATTCAGCCACAAAAAGGAATGAAGCACTTATACATGCTACAACATGGATGAACCTTGAAAACATCATGCTAAGTGAAGGTAGCCTGTCATAAAGGACAGCATGTTTTAAGATTCCATTTAAATGGCATGTTCAGAACAGGTAAATCCATAGAGACAGAAAGCAGTGGTTGCCCAGGTCTGGGGGAAAAGGGGATAGGGAATTAATAGCTAAAGGGTACAAGGTTTCTTTCTGGGGTGAGGAAATGTTCTAAAATTGATTGCAGTGATGATTGCACAACTCTGTGAATATACCAAAATACATTTAGTTGTGCATTTTAAATGGGTGAATTGTATGGTATGTGAATTACATCTTAATTGAAGAAAACAGCTGTGGAAACAAAACTCTAAAGCGTTGGTTCTCATATTCCAGCGAGCATTATCCTCACTTGTGGAAATTGGTTTAAAAAAAAGCTGATAAAAATGTTCTAGGCCTATCAAGGCACAAAAAGACATGTAGGAACCCTAAATGTGCCTTGCTAAGTGAAAGAAGCCAGCTTGAAAAGGCTATATACTGTATGATTCCAACTATATGACATTCTGGAAAAGGTAAAACTATAGAGATAGTAAAAAGGTTAGTGGTTGCCAGCGTTCAGGGGAAGGGAAAGGAAAGATGAATAAATGGAACACAGGGAATTTTTAAGGCAGAAACTATTCTGTATGATACTGTAATGGTGGATACGTGACATTAAACATTTGTTAAAACCTGTAGAACTATACAATACAAAAGTGAGCCCTAATGCAGACTGTGGATGTTAGTTCATAATAATAATGTATCAATGTTGGTTCATCACTTCTGATTTTTGTTATTTGGGCCTTCCCTCTTCTTTTTTTTTTTTTTTTTTTTGTTGTTAACGTAGCTAATGCTTTGTCTATTTTGCTTATCTTCTCAAAAAACCAACATTTTGTTTCATTCATCTTCTGTATTGTTTTTTGTGTCTCTATATCATTTAGTTCTGCTGTGATCTTAATTATTTCTTTCCATCTTCTAACTTTGGGATTGGATTGTTCTTTTTTTATAGTTCTTTGAGGTGTAGCATTAGGTTGTTTATTTGAAATCTATTTTTTTTTTTGATGTAAGCATTTATTGAAATAAACTTCCCCTTAGTACTGCTTTTGCAGTATCCTACAGATTTTGATATGATGTCTTTATTTTTGTTGGTTTTAAGAAATTTTTTGATTTCCTATTTAATTTCTTCTTGGATCAGTAGGTCACTCAGGAGCCTGTTGTTAAATTTCCATGTATTTGTATAGTGCCCTGAGTTTTACTTGTTAATTTCTAGTTTTAATCCATAGTGGTCTGAAAAGATACTTGAGATGATTTTTGTGGAGTATGCATAAAGCAAATTTACTTCACAGGGCCTAGTTTTCCAAAGCCTTGCAGTTTCAAATATTGATCTTGCAAAGGACAGGAAATTTTCCCCAGGCTATAGTCTCTGTTGTGAAATAAAGAATTGTAAAACAGCAAGGTTGCTTGCTCAAAGACAGACAGGTTACTGATTGATATGTAAAGATACTGGGAAATTGCTGTAAAAAGAGAATGTTTGCTAAGATCAAGCTTTTGTTGGTGGATCAACTTAACTTCTTGAAAATTGCATTATGGAATGTCACCTTGCTTTTTTTACTGAATGTTACCAGCTTCTATTGTTAAACTTGTTAAACTATACTTAGCAAAAACCCCACCTATGTTCTCTTCCTGTAACTTCCTGGTCTGGAGAATAAATGCGGAAAGAGAACCCCAATTCATGGTTAATTTCCCAAATGAAAGGAATGCCTCTATCTTGAGGGTTCCAAGAGATTAACCCCTATTTCGGGCTTCTCACTGCTCAGAAGAGATGGGCTTTGAGTAATCTTTGGTGGCTTCATCACCTAGGGGAACAGGGGTGACAAATCCATGGGAGGCAAAGCAACAGATTTTGATTTTTTTTTTGCAGTCGTTGAGACTTGATTTGTGACCTAAAATGTGGTCTATCGTGGAGAATGTTCCATGTGCTGATGAGAAGAATGTATATTCTGTGGTTATTGGATGAAATGTTCTGTAGATACTGGCCAGGTCCATTTGGACTAAAGTTTAGTTTAAATCTTGTGTTTCTCTGTTGATTTGTTGCCTGCATGATTAATCCAATGCTGAGAGAGGGGCATTCAGGTACCCAACTATTATCGTGTTTGGATCT